TCAGCCATGTCTGCTGGAGGCTCACACATCAGTTCCTGGAAATGCGTAGAAGAACCCTGTTGGTCACGAGGAAGTGCCACATCGCAGGGGAGCAGACATGTCCGGAGGTGACCAGGTTCCCTTCACAAGGTCCCTAGCTGAGCTACTGTATGTTATGGAAGGGAGGGGTGTCCTTGGGAAGTGGGGGCACAGAAGGCGGAACATAGAACAAGCGGATTAGGGGGTTTGAATTTCTGCATTGCTCTGTAGTTACTTATGAAATCAAAAAGTTGAGAACCACAGCTGGAGGACACCAATCTGGATATCTGTGATCAGAAGACCCACTTTCTTATACAAATGGATGTCTACACAGTGCATATTCACCCAGTGCAAGGCAATCCTACTCTTCCCTACGTCTTGTTGACCTGGGCAATATCGACCTTATAAAGACTGAAATTTACATTTTATGCCATTAGCAGTTTTTATTGAAGGAGGAAAATGATATCTTAATTCATTTCAGGTTCAAGATCAATTCTGCAAACATTGATTCAGGCATGAAAGGCACTTAAATAAGCATACACATTTCTGAAAACATGACATGTTATGTACACGTGTTCACCATTGTTCAGATTTAGGGCTTTGAACCCAATAAGAGTTTAAGTCTTTTTTTCCTTCTTGTGCCAAAATAGCAGCTATTGGTATTTGGTATTTGCAACTATGCAAATACCAACCCAGAATGCTCTGGGCAAAGGTTAGCAAGGTTTCAACCTTTTTTTTTTTTTTTTTTTTTTGAGACAGAGTCTTGCTTTTGTTGTCCGGGCTAGAGTGAGTGCCGTGACGTCAGCCTAGCTCACAGCAACCTCAAACTCCTGGGCTCAAGCAATCCTTCTGCCTCAGCCTCCCGAGTCACTGGGACTACAGGCACGCGCCACCAAGCCTGGCTAATTTTTTCTATATATTTTTTAGTTATCCCAATCATTTCTTTCTATTTTTTAGTAGAGACGGCATCTCGCTCTTGCTCAGGCTGGTCTCGAACTCCTGACCTTGAGCGATCCACCCACCTCGGCCTCCCAAGAGTGCTAGGATTACAGGTGTGAGCCACCGCGCCCGGCCACCTTTTTTGTTTTTTAACTGTATGCTAAAACCATCTCCGTTCATATGGAACCCAGAAAACATGTTTCCTTGGACATGCCATGTGGCCTCTCGGTTTACATATCTTGAAATATCAAGGTCAATTAAGAGCCGTTCATTCCTATCCTCACCATTCACGCCATGCTTCCTTTACAAATTCAACAACCGATGGAAAGAAAAGTCTCTGCAGTAGCACAAGACGCTCAGCTGCTTCCCAATCCACTCTGTATGTAATTCCCGGGGTTTATGAGATTGAAAAATAATTCCAGTTGAAGCCATTTATCTAGTTTTGTGGTAGAAACAATCTAATCTTCAATCTCCCAATTATTTTTTATGGCTGGATTAACGTGCTAACCACTTAGATGTGAAAATCCATCTCAGTTGTATCATCAAGACCGTGCACCACGGGCAAACGGACAGAGGATGTACTGATTTACAAAATTGTTAGCATCTTTGACACTTATTTGAAAGAAAAAAACACTTGAGATTATTTAACATTTCAATAACTTATGAGAGCTAGAGAGAGAGAGAGCGCGCGCGCGTGAGTGTGAGAGAGGCAGTTTTTCCTTTCCGTGAGGTACCACGGAACAGCACGCAATGCCGCACACAGCCCTCCAGAACCGGCGCAGGGACCGGGGGAATGTGAACTTATTTGAAAGTCTCTCTCATTTGGACAAGAATATGCTAGACTCCCAAACTCATACGAATTGAATAAAAAATGTAAACATAGATTTGATTTAGGCTCAGCTTTCAGACAGTTGTAAGGCATTAACTAGAAAGTATATTTAACATTTGCTCCCCTTTACTCTTTCTTACCTGGTCAAGAGCTAAATGGGCTCAACAGTGTACTCTTGTGGGTGAACGAAGGACAACTACTGCTGGAAAGATGCCTATTAAATCCTTTAAATGTTAAAAGGTAGTATTAATGCAAACCCTGATGCTTTCCAATGAACTCAAAAGCCCCAAGCTGAGGGTGAGAAGCAGTCGGTTTCTGGCATGAAGGGGATGGTTTGTGGCTGAGCTCAGATGGGGGCAGTGAAGCTACAGAGAAATCTTTGCTGGTGAGGGGAAGGCCCGAGACCCTCAGGAATAGCCCGCCAGCCCGTGCCCTTCGCAGTCTCTGAGTGGCTCAGGTTCTAGCATTTCCCAGGAGATGCCATCACAAGCCCCGGTGCCAAGGGCACCTACTGCCAATTTTGGCCAATTCATTTTTCTTGCTTTTGAATCGTACAAGAAGCCCTGGGCCCAGGGTGTGACGAGCTTAGGGGCTTTCAAAGCGTCAGAGGGCCGACCCATCAGGTCTCAGCAGGAACATGGCTCCTAAAATGGGGTTCGCCTGTGGTTTGGAACCCCCGTCAGCAACCTTAGACACAAGAGGAGAAGACCGTGGCACACGCAGGGGTGCGGTGGAAGGCTTCCTCCTTTGCGCTCGTATGGGCCAGAGCAGCTATTTGGCATTTTGCTGGCCCAGGGTAGGGATACGGCATCCTTCTCACAGGCTGCAATAATCACATTCTACTGGGCACAGCCCGAATGCTGGGCCGATTCCCCCAGGCACAGAGTGACATGTCGTCGGCTCTCCCAGACGCAGTCTGTCTGCCACCCTCCTGCTCCATCCGCCTGCGTCCTAGGGACCAAGGCACTCAGGCTAAGTTAAGCCTCCGAGCGCCGGGAAGCCCGTGGTCCCCTGCAGCACTGCTGGGAGAATGGAAGCAGATGAATTCTTAAAAAACAGAGTGAGTGTGTGAGTGTGTGTGCTTGTGTGCATGATAATGGTCCAAGCTTCAGCAGCATAAAAATATTTATCTTATTTTTTATAGCTAGCATGCAGTCAATCGGTAACACACTGAAAGAACTTAGAAACATCAAGGTCTACTCAGCCGCAGCTACATGGAACCCCTCACCATTTATGTACATACCTATCTGAGATGGGAGATGCAGCGCCATCACCTCACGGAACAAGTCACCCTGGCCCATCCCTCCAGCCCCACAGAGCGGGGAGCCCCTGGGAGCACGGACAGGGCCGTGGGCATCTCTGCAGTTTTGGTTAAGACGTTAATTGTCTCAGCGAATTGGCCTATTCGAGTTAATCACCCTCTTGACCCTGAATAGCCTTGATCTGTGTCACCAAATTCCCAATCCCCTCTTCGATACATGATGCCACGTGGGCACAGAGACAGGACTGAGAGAATTGATAATAAATATTACACAAATAGTCACTGTGTGAGGACACGTGAATAATGACCCTTGCTTCTTGGGTTTTTTCATAACAAGGTGTGAAGAAGGGCTGGTCGTAGGAAATCGGCGACCATTGAATTAGGAAATGCTGGGCATGAAAGGGCTCTACAGACCATTGTCTTCGTCTCCCAGCAGAAGAAACTAGGAATGGACCGGGCCATACATGCTGAGCCCAGCTCACCGCCACCCACTGAGCACCCTTCCCATCAGGGAAACTCCCTCCTGGGGCCTCTGGGGAGAGGGCGGGGGGAGGCAAGGTGCAGAGACGATGTAGGAAGCTGTGGAAGCTCCTTTGTGGGGCTGTCACTCTGTGCTCACAAGCAGCGAGTGCAAGGAGAATCCCTGGGTGTTGGTGACTGTGAGCGTATGTGGGTGTGTCCCGCTCATTGTAAATTACAAGTGGGTACAAGCAGTTAGGTGGTCCTAAAAACAAAACATGACTATACATGGTTTACCTTTTCCATTTTCTATACATGCATGCAGTATGAAAAATAAACATAGCTCAAAGATATCGTGATGCAAGAAGTCCGCAGGTTTTTGCGGCATAAATTATTTTTTGATCTGTGACTTGCCTGTATTCCAAATAAGACTTGAAAACTGTGCTTTTTCTTTTCTTTTCTCCTTTCTTTTTCTTTTATATAAAATGGCAATTCCTTCCCAGGAGAAACAGCCTTTTTCCACAAATGCAAATCATTTGGGGTTTCTTGTATCATGATCAATGCATCTTGTCTTTCATATGGTCATAAGGAATAAGCATGATTTTGAACTTGAGTAGATCTGGCTGTTAGGTTTATCACCTGCAAAGAAGCCAGGAGAGAAGTTGCTGAGTCCCCTGCAGCTGCCTCCAAAGTGACTTACTCCCTAAGTAGGAAGCCAGTTCTCTCCTAGGTGATAAATTAAAGTAAATGAGGTGACAATTTTATTAATTCCATTCTGATTAGCATCCAGGTAAGAATGACAGTCTACATGATCTCAGCCCAAACTTTAGGCCAGTTTCTCCTCCTCATTTTTTAATACCTTTACTAGGACCTCAAGTTTTGCTTCCAGGTTTGGTGACACATTAACACAACATGGAGCCCAGAAGATGGCACCACCTGTTCTCCCTGGGCACCCCCTCCCCTGCACCGACCACAGATTAACTACTGCATGGCCATCTGCAAATGTACAGCAAATTCTGCAAGACTGTGTCAAAAAGAGATGATTAAGGAACAAAAAAAACTGATGGAAAGCTAGTCTCTTATCTAGGAAATCATCCTATAACTATCTCCCAATTCAAAAATTCTATTTTTGGTTGTTCTGGGACCATTTCTCACTAGGGATTCTTCAACAAAAACAAATTCTCCCAGGCCCTCCAGATGATTTTGTTATAAGGATAACTGTACACAGACCCAAAATAACAGAGGACGTCATTTTATTGGCTGTCCACGGGAAGTTTCATCACACGAGGAGGTGAAGTCTCCGGTGGGGCCGCACAACACAAAGCATCTCCCTGCTGCACAGAGGTGAACGACCCTGGATATAGTGAGGCCCCCGCCGCCCTCTGCAGCCCAGCCCCCTGTCCACCGACACCTCAGCCGAGTGGGTTGACAAGTGATGACACTGTCCATTAGTCTCGGTTTGTTGTACTGTCTTCCAACAGAACAGCACTGGAAAATTCACAAAATCAAAAAAAGAAAGAAAAAAGAAGGAGAGCAGCACTTCCTTTGGAATACCAACACCACTGTAGCACAGACGGCAGCGTGGCATGCAAATCCACGTCTGGGCGCTTTTTCCCGTTGGTTTTTTTTGTTGTTTTAATTAACAAATGGAATGGTGTGTCTATTTCAAATATTAGTAGCATAACACTTAAGTGCAATTTCAGTCCGGCCACCTTCCGTGTGTCTGTCACAGAGTGGCAGACGGCCGTGTAACGTCCAGGCAGCTTCTGTTCTTCCCCGACTCTGATTCCGCCCCCGGAGACTGCCCCATCCCTAGGCCCACCCTTCAGGTTCCAAGCTTTTGAAAAAAGCTTCTTCTCTATTTTCATTTTTGTCACAGCGCTCAAGGTGGGGAAGAAAATTCGAATAAAACCAAGCGCAAAGCATCTGGGTCCCGCCGCCCTCTGCCATGAGCTGGGGCTCCGTCCACTCTCTAAGGGATCTCTGCACCCCGGACCTGGGGCTGTCACCTTGGACCCGGGGCTGTCACCTCGTCTGTGGCACTTGGTCGCTGCCCCTAGCCCCAGGCCCACGCGGGTCACACGGAGCTGAGCTTCACCAGGCCGCGCACGGAGTCCTCGTGCAGCGAGTCCTGGCTGGCCAGGCCCAGCACGTGCACGGTGCGGCTGTGCGCCAGGGGACTGCCCGCTGCCAGCAGCCCGGGGGGCGAGGGCGCCTCGTCCGGGGTCAGGAACTGGTGTGCCACGTGCTCCTCCTTGCGGGGCAGGACGTCGGCCAGCGCGGCCTCGGCGGCCAGGTTGGGCATGGAGGAGGGCGGCGTGGGCGGGCCCAGCGTCAGGCTGGCACAGGGCGTGCCCAGGCCGGGCTTCCCGGGCAGGTGCAGCTCGTCGCTGGTGAGGCTGGGCTCGCTCTGCAGCAGGGGCGTGGCTGCGGCCTGCAAAACGAATTTGGTGCTCTGAATGCACTGGTCTTGGTCGCACTGGAGAGCAGTAGGAGCCAGCAAAGAGAAGGCGGGGACGGGAGGGGCAGGGGTGGGGAGGGCGGGTGCGAGAAGAGAGAAACCGTTAGTGACACCTCAGTCAGTCAAGCCAGGGAGCACGCACAGTAGCCCCGTTGCAGCTGGGGAGACACCTGGCACCTAAATAACCCACTCAAACGAACTGTCACCCATAGGTGCCCACTCGGCCTCCAGGCTGTGGTGCCCATGGCCTTCGTTCCCAACTCGGAGGATGTAATTTTTTAAAAATCCCACGTACAGAGTTACGGGCTTTTACCGCCTACAGCAGTGTGAGGCTGCTTTCCCGTATGCTGAAAACCATTTTTACCACATTGTTTTAAAAACACAGGGGCCTGTACACCCAGGTTCATGGCAGCATTATTCATAGTAAGTCAAAAGATGACAGCAGCCCGAGTGTCCCCTGCTGGGTGAATGGACAGACAAATGTGCCACCTGCACACAACCGAGTGCTGCTGAGCCTGAGGAGGGAAGGGAAGTCTGACACACGCTACAGCAGGGACGGACCTCGAGGACACGTGCTAAGTAAGATAAGGCAGCCACAGAAAGACAAATACTGCGTGATTCTCCTGATACGAGAGCCTAGAGCTGCCGAACGTTAGAGAGAAAGTCGGATGGTGGGGGCCGGGGGCTGGGGCTGGGGGATAGGAGTTGGTGTTTCATGGGGGCGGAGTTTCAGCTGGGGAAGGCGAAGGAGTCCTGGAGAAGGATGGTGCGGCGGCTGCAATACAACATGGATACGACTCGATATTGCTGAAATGTGCACTTAAAAATGGTTAAAATGGTAAATTTTATGTTATGTCTATTTTACCACGAAAAGAAAAGAAAAGAAAATATAGGGGTAGCAGAAGCCCTTGACAGTCTGACCGAACTGTTCTGTAAAAGCCTAGAATTGCTAAATTATCATCAGCTTCAAGAACCATCCATTGAGCTTTCGTGGTTTGATAATGCCAACATTTGAGGAGACAGTTCCTTTTCTTCTAAGTATTTTTTTTTTTTTTTTGAGACAGAGTCTCACTGTGTTGCCCAGGCTAGAGTGCTGTGGCGTCAGCCTAGCTCACAGCAACCTCAGACTCCTGGGCTCAAGCGATCCTCCTGCCTCAGCCTCCCGAGTAGCTGGGACTACAGGCATGCGCCGCCATGCCCGGCTAATTTTTTCTATGTATTTTTAGTTGTCCAATTAATTTCTTTCTATTTTTAGTAGAGACGGGGTCTCGCTCTTGCTCAGGCTGGTCTCGAACTCCTGAGCTCAAACAATCCTCCCGCCTCGGCCTCCCAGAGTGCTAGGATTACAGGTATGAGCCACCACGCCCGGCCCTTCTAAGTATTCTTAAGCCATATTACATATATCTTGTGTCTTTTGTTTGACTTTAATCACGGGGAAAAGGAAGTAGCGTAAGACATTTCCAGCCTATGGGATGGGAGCCCTGCTGGCTCTGCGCACCCTCTCCCTGGACTACCGGTGAGTGTCAGGACAGCTGGGAGAGACTTCAGAGGCCTTGGAGTGCTACCCCTGCGCCAGGGTAGTCCCTCCTTAGTGAGGTTCAGAAGCAGCGTTTCTGTGGGAAGGAGGAGGAACAGTATGGACACGGGTAAGCATGTTGTGACTCTGTGTTCGAGTGGTAAGCTGGGTGCTCCCTCTGCTTCTTCAGAAGTTCTTGGAACAAGCATGCTTCCCGTCTTCACAAATGAAGGCCTGGTGCTCAGCTGGGGTGGGTGGCTCGCTCATCAGCTTACAGAGGAAAGCAAGAGATGGATCCAGGAGCCGAAGCTGGGATAAACCTCTTTCCACCATTGCACATTTGACACACAGTAGGTGCTTAGTAAATGTTACTTGGCTTATTATGCCCTCCTCTCTTTCAGAACGCTGGAATTCCTAGAGAACCACCTACCACTAGCTGTGTGATGAAGGCCCTGCAGCCTCTTCCCGACTGGAGGCACACCCAGACCTGTCATCACACCTGCAGTCCATGGAAACGAGTGGCAAAACCAGCCTCAACGGGAGGGAGAGAGTTCGCCTGCAAATCCTTAGGTGTTTATTTCATCTGCTACAGCAAGTGCTCCAAGCCTCTCGGGTTTCTTTCTAAACCACAGGGGGTGGGCCATCCCCTACGCAGGCCCCAGGCCTAGAGGAGAACAATTGAGGGGCAGCAGTCCCTAAGGAATTTGCAGATTTTAGAAATTCAAAGACCTTGGCTCCAGGCCAGAGTAAAGCTCATAGTGGAGCTTTAAGGAGGGAAAGCAAGTCTCAGGGAAGAATCCTCACTTTTCTATCGCTTCATCCCCATCAGTGGGACTCTAAAACCCCAGGAGCTGGGGGAGAAAGGCCATTAAAAAGTACTTGGAAGGGGCTGACTGTTGAGCATTAACAATCCTTTAAACTATTAGGTGGGGGACCATGTCGCTTTCTCTGCTCCTGCAGGGAGTTTCAGCTCAGGGTGCAGGTCCTTTCTGGGGGTGGGGTGCTGAGCAATGAGGCTGTCAGGCTGCAGGCAGCCGAGGTCTGTGCCTGTTGTCACGCGCTCCGATGCTGTCAGCTTGTTCGAGAGACGTCGGCTCAGTCTCGACAGGGCAGCGGCAGAGAAGGAGCAGCCTTGCTGATTAAACATCCATCTTCTGGAGACTATGCCAGGGTTTGGATAGACTGTGCTTTGCAGAGAATGTTTCATGAACATCACGGTTCGTCCTCTCACTGGCAGAGACACAGAGAGGCCGCGTCACAGCGCCCAGCCTCCTGGTGACGGTGTCTTGCTTCCCACCTTCCCCTCTGGAGCCCTCACTCATTCTAATACTTTCTGTCCACACAATACCCCCAGCTCTAAGGAATAAGGAAATTACAAATTAGATTTGCTCGTCTCTGTTGACCTGAAGAAAGCCTTTTTTATTGAAAACTAATTGGCAAATTCTATTTTAGGGATCTGCCTGATTACGTCTGATGGGCTCCTACCGTCTCATAGAAAAATGTTAGAGGTTAGAGCTGGAAGAGACGTTCAAGGTCACAGGGTAGGAGGCTGAGGGAAGAGGTGGGCTCCCCTCATCCCACACCCTCTCTCTTTCTCCTGCTCCTTGTCCGCTCTTCTACTTGGCACCCCCCATCGGTTGCCCCTTTTCTCTTTCCTGATCACCTGCCTCCCCGCTAAGCCCGGCAAAGAGCTCGTGGGCACCCACGAGAACCTTCTTAGGCACAGTGGCCACCAACAGCCGTCTGTTGAGTTTCGGAGAGCTCGTGCTGACAGGAGGGCGACGTGGGGTTAGGTGTGCCCGCTGAGGCCTTCAGCTACTAACGTCACTTTGCTGCCTGAAGACAAACACAGACCTACAGGTGGGTTTTCTATGACACCCATGAAGCCTCAGGGTCCCTTCCTCGCACAGCCCTTCCAAGGCCTTGTTCCTTGCGTGTCGTTTTCTTTTTCTTAAAAGGGGGTCCCTCCCCGCCTGGGCCCACTCCTGCACATACCTACTGGGGCTTGACCCCGGCCAAACTCACGACTTGCTAAAAACTGTAACAGACACTGTGCTCGGCCCACTGGCCAGGACCCCGCTGAAGACGCTCACTACTTTATCAAGGGTGAAGCTTAAGGACTTACATGAAAGTGTGAAAAAAAAAATTACTGACAGAAAAAGTTTAACCTAAGCCATTTAATTTAAAACATCTCTACATAAGTCACTCAGAAATCTTTTCCAAAGGACTGTTCTAATCCCGATCTGAGTTATCTGACTCTGAGCGCCTCTTCCACAGAGATTTGTTTAAACCTCTTAAAAAATGAGTGTCTCTGCAAGTACAGCTATGGGCACCTCTGCTGACATAGGGACAGCTTTCGTATCAGGATTACCCTACTCGCTGCACCCTCCCCCGCTGACCTACTGCCAGTACGCACAGAGACTCGGACCACGTACCTACGTGTCTGAACCCTGCTGGTAGCCCGTGGCTTTGAACAGTTTGCCACATTCAGACTGATTTCCGTTTAGATGACCAGTCCATTTGGGGCACGCCAGCACCATGTTCTGTCCTGCAGGGTACTGCCCACGGCGGCCTCCTGTGGGCTCACGGGGGTGGGGGCTGGCGCTGGCGTGGGAAACTGCAGGACTCTTGCACATTCAATGCTGTGACCCTTCTCGACGGAATTTATGATTCTCATAAAATGCTCCCAAACTTTGCCTGTTTTGAACATCCCCTTCTTAGAAAAAACTCAGATATCGAATGATTCAGGGATGTCTGCTATTTAAAAACAAGAGAGAGCACTTCCTCACTTTTCCACACTGCTAAAATTCCAAGGAGGATGGGCTGACGCACCTTCATAGTCACGATCCCCGTTGGGGCACCTCCCGGGGGAAATGGCCAATATTCTCGGGATTATTGTGGATATGAGCCATGAAACATATTCTTAACATCTCTTCTTTTTTTGTTTTTAACCTTTGCTGCTAACTCTCATTTGCCCATTTCTTGTTGATTTTTCTACTTAGCTTTCTTGCTGTCTGGCCTTGCCGATTCTCTTCTCCTCTTTCTTCTCCATCTTTTCTTTTCATTGATTTCCCTCTCATTTCTCCTTTTCCCCCCATCTTCTCTTTCTTCTTCTTCTCTTCCTACTTCTCTCTTTTCTCTTACGTTGATCCTTTTTTCCTCCACCACCCTCCTTCCTGGCTTTTCATTTGAGGACTCTTTTATCTTCCGCCGGTAGAGGGAGACATCACTGCTCCCTTTTTCTCTTACAATTTGGTGGCTGTGCGTTTATTCCAGCTGACACCAGGAAGCCACTGGGTCCGTCTGAATTGACTTAACCGGTTATATAATCTTAAGGAAACAGAGCCAAGCACTCAGATATCTGACAGTGACAGTCCATCTCCTACAAACAGCAAATTGAGAAACTCATGTTTTCATTCCAAAACAACCCTTTAAATGTTCGTATTTATCAAATATTAGGTTGAATAGTATAAAATTGGGTGGTGACGCCTGTCTGTCACGA